TGTTGTATTCGGCGCATGTGACAAATAAAGTTTGATTTGATTCTGTCTGTAGAATCCGAACAGTTTGGGCTACACACTAATATGAGGTGAGACTCTCACAAACACATACATGTGGGTTGTTTTGCTCTATGACGCCCACAGGCCTCACAAGACTCGTCTGAAGGTCCTCCAGTACCAGTTGTAAAAATTAATGGAAGTATATATGGAGACTGTTTAGTGCCACAAATAAGGGGTTATTACATGTAAAAAATAATAAACTAAAAAATAATTTAATCATTTAGATTTTTGGGGGGGAATATCTGTTTTTCCATATATGACCTTCTTAAAACAATTCCTAATAACTTAGTAGAACACCCCCCCCCCCCCCCCCCCTCCTCCGGCTTAGACAGGGCTTAGACTCTTATGGGTTAAGGACCAGTTCAACTTTTAACTAATTACTAACTGCATTAACTATCTAACGCCAACTCTTTCTTTCTTTCCTTGTTGGATCACCTTCTGCTCCCTGCGACCAACCACAGCAAAGGGAGAAGGCCAAAGATGTCCTTGGTGTTACCAGCTATTAATGTGAATGGTAAAGACTAGTAACTGATGTGAACTGCGCAATAGCAAGCCAAAAATAACCATTGGATTCTAAACTCTAAGGAAGTTTATTGATGTACGTTTTGGAGAAGATCTTTCACATAATCAGAAGCCACAGCAAATTTACATCTCCACCTACCTACTGTGTATAAGCAGACAACCTACGCTCACTATACACTATAATCATCAGTTTAGTTACAGCTTGAACCAGCTTGAACAAATGACTGCTATTGTGATGGATGAATGCTCACTTTTTCTTCTAATCTTGAAAGCTTTCCTCTGTATTTACTTCCTATTGTTTTAGTGACAGAAATAGCTTTCAGATGTAAACTAAGCTATTTGTACTTCTGTCATGTGCAATGAATTAGGCTATTTTGCTGAGGGCAATCGTATTGGTCTGTTGGTGTCCCTTCTACCCTGAAGAAAAGGAAAGGAAGTGGAATACAGATTTTCCATGCCCTTTTAAAGATAGAATGTACGCTTCCTGAAGTTCAGAGACAACAGTACTGTATGGTACATTTGCTTTTCTAATCTTAGGTGATTTACTGTCTCTCCAGTAAAGGTTAAGCTTCAGAGAAGAGCTTGTCTGGGGGAGACAGATAAACAGTTTGAAAATACGAGTTGGCTTATGTAGGATCTTCATTTGACCAGTTTCTCACAGCATGACAATTATTCTGCAGCAACAGGAAATGTGAATGATTGTGTGGATTATAATTCATGGACATTTTTGTAATAGTTGATACATTTGTAGTAAGGGCAAATCAAATCAGAAATGTTAAAGTGGAAATTACTAATTTAAGAAGCCCTTTTAAACCTTGAATGCACTACAAGTTTGCATTTCCTGCTATGCAGGACATTTCATGCAACAACAGGGCGATCAAATTAAGATCCTACATCTGTAGGACATGGGACTCACCATTGAACTCACTCACCCTCTTTTGTCTGGGTTCTGTCCCCCTCAGTCTTCCGAATTCGTTTTTTGTGTGGGTTATGATCAATTATTAATGTATTTAATAGGTCTGTATTTTAAGCTAGTAAGTATTTCCATACTATGTACTATGATTAGCATTTAACCGTAAAAAAAAAAAGATGGATAAAGTGTGAAAATTCCAGATTACAAAGCAACTACTGCACTTGATTCTCATAGCGTCTGATGTCTCCGATGTACCGTTTCTCATAGAAACGTTATGCTCAGCACTAAATGCTGTGAGACCACCATGCTTTGGAGTTATTATCATGGTTCGTTCATTCCACACCCATACTGTCTCTCAGAGCTCAGCACTTAAAGACAGGGGCCTCCGGCCAAAGGAAAACCTCCCTCCCTGGACACGTCTGGGGATCGGCTGCCCTCAATGCAGGAGCCTCACCATTATGGCCTTGAGCCAGTCCCCTGTAAACATACTTTAGTGGGTCCCAGAGGCCCCCCAGTACAGAGCATTGCAGAGGCCCCTCTTACCCGCCTCACACTGTTAATGGTCCTGAAACATTCCCAGACCTGTTTCCTGAGTCGTATGGATCAACTTTGTTATGCAAACGTGCAGATGTGCATGAAGTGCATCATCCTACATAACAGAACTCTATGATGACTGCTTGTTGATAGCGGTTTTGCTTTCTCTGAATCCAGACTTATAAATCTGAAGTTTGTCATGTTTTTGGAGGGAAAGATTCATGATTCATTGTCTTTGTTTAAGGTCTAGGCCATTAGCTCCCACAACGTTAGCCAAAAATGTTTTGGATCTGTCATTATGCAATCTCATAGATGGGTGACAATATCTAGATTACAGCTTTGGAGTGATTAAGAGGTAAACAAAGAGAGAAACTGGGATAGAGGCGCTGGTGGAATACAATGCAGTCCTGTCATGGGAATGCTTTGGTTTATTTCTTTATCTCTCTGTGTCTCTTGCTCCCACGGTCTCTGTTTCTCTTGCTCCCACGGTCTCTGTGTCTCTTGCTCCCACGGTCTCTGTGTCTCTTGCTCCCACGGTCTCTGTTTCTCTTGCTCCCACGGTCTCTGTGTCTCTTGCTCCCACGGTCTCTGTTTCTCTTGCTCCCACGGTCTCTGTCTCTTGCTCCCACGGTCTCTGTGTCTCTTGCTCCCACGGTCTCTGTGTCTCTTGCTCCCACTATCTCTGTGTCTCTTGCTCCTACAGTCTCTGTTTCTCTTGCTCCCACGGTCTCTGTCTCTTGCTCCCACGGTCTCTGTGTCTCTTGCTCCCAGGGTCTCTGTGTCTCTTGCTCCCACTATCTCTGTGTCTCTTGCTCCTACAGTCTCTGTTTCTCTTGCTCCTACAGTCTCTGTGTCTCTTGCTCCCACGGTCTCTGTTTCTCTTGCTCCCACAGTTTCTGTTTCTCTTGCTCCCACAGTCTCTGTTTCTCTTGCTCCCACGGTCTCTGTTTCTCTTGCTCCCACAGTTTCTGTTTCTCTTGCTCCCACAGTTTCTGTTTCTCTTGCTCCCACGGTCTCTCTTTCTCTTGCTCCTACAGTCTCTGTTTCTCTTGCTCCCACGGTCTCTGTTTCTCTTGCTCCCACGGTCTCTGTTTCTCTTGCTCCCACGGTCTCTGTTTCTCTTGCTCCTACAGTCTCTGTTTCTCTTGCTCCCACGGTCTCTGTTTCTCTTGCTCCCACGGTCTCTGTTTCTCTTGCTCCCACGGTCTCGGTTTCTCTTGCTTTCTGTTTTTTCTGAGGTGCAGAAGTGGATGCCAGAGAGGAATTTGTTTGATGTGCTTATGACTTTGTTGAAAGGATATGCTATGCTTATTGCATATCATTAGATAATATCCTTGGAGAGGCACAGTGGTGGCTGCATATAATTGCCAGGTGATTGTAACGGTAGGTTGTAATTTGCCCCAGCCACAGAGTGTGGTTGTATAGAAAGACCTATTCTTGCCATGAATAGCTTCCATCTGTAGAAATCGGTTTGATATTCCTCACTACTTGAATAGAAGATTTACCATGGATTTGTCCTCAGAATCGCTCTTCTGGGCTACAACATACTGTGCAAGAATGCCAAGTGGCCTTTTGGGTAACTTTATCATAACCAATTGGCCTCAGTTGAAGGCAGCATATGTGGAGGATAATGAAGGGCAATTGAGTATTTTCGTTCTCATGATTTGAAATAAGCCATTTCACTGTGCCGTGTTGACAGGCCAACATATTTTCTCATGTTCACATAGTTTAGTTAATGGTTGGTCTGACCCAAAGACTTCCGCCATTTGGAATTAGGTATGTTCCGGTATGGTCTGTAAGAATAATACACAAGTGTTCCATTTGGAATTAGCTGTGGAATAAACTGTGCGCCTGTCTTCCAAACAACTCAACACCTTCACGTTCCAAGCCTTAAAATTATTAAAACTGTCATCTTGAGACAATGCAGGTGTACAACTGGCAGCTAAAACTCATATTCCTTGCACAAAAATAATGGTGGATTCAGTTCTCATTAAAAAAAAACAGTAACAAAAGAACATGTGTTAAATTCTATTTATTTTTAGTGAGTAATATTTTTGTGTAGTATATTATCTAGTGTATTCAGGTACTATGGACTTATCCTATTAGTTCTCATCACACATACAGTAGAAACACACACATACTTTGAACTTCCATGTGTTCACAGAATGTGATCGGTTGCATAACCTTTTCAATTTAATTTCCATATGCATTAATCACCTTTAGATCCAGAGCATGATCCCTACATGTGCCAGTCAATTCCTCCCGCTGGCTAAGCCACATGGACCTGGCCTTTCTGGCCGGTCTGGTGGTTGTGTGGCTGATGGCTTCAGCCAGTGTTCTTCCAGGAGCTGGTGTTCAACCTCCAGCCATCCTGCAGGCTCCTCAGCCACCTGACACCAGACAGGGTCTCCGGGAGAAGACAGTGAACCAGATAATGACTATTGCAGTTGGGCTCTAGAGTGCAAAGAGGACAGACTTTGGGATTGGATCCTAACAGAGAGACACTATAAGGGGATCCCCTCAGGAGATCCTCATTGGATGTCTGCTGAAAAGTGCTGATGGTAGCTGATGCTTGTATTACATAATACTTCAGATGTGGCTACTGACTGTTGAGGCATCTAGACCCAAGATGACTGAATATCATTTAGATTTGGATTATAACCATATTTTTGTACTTATTGTATTTCATTACAGACTCTGTCATCAAGGACAACAGATTTGAGGTGATGATGCAGATTGACTGTGAGGTGATGGACACCAGGATCCTCCACATCAAAACTGTCAGCATCCCAGAGTTCCTACGTGCCAACACCACTGACTTCCAATCCACCCATGCCAATGGGCAGGCTGCAGCATCGGTTGGTGTTCTATCAGACTCTGCCTGAACTTCACCTCAACCAGAATAGCTGGCAATCTGAAAGCCTATAATTTAGCGAACATTTTTGTCTTCCTCTCTGTAAATGTCCTGCATCAATTTCCTCAATAAAGTAGTTATCAGCAAAGTCAGAGCTTGAAAGGAAGGGGGAGTCAAGTGCAAGTGTTGGTTCAGTATTTTTACATTTGTTTTACTCTTTAGTATGTACAGTATCAGTATCATACAAACATGATGTAAGTTATGTGGCCATTATTTTCAGAAATGTGTACAATTGGGATGTAATAATGACATTGTTTTGTTTGAGTTGCGTAAAGGTTTGTCATGGTTTTCAGAAAACAAACCATGGACAGTATCATGTCCTAATATTGATTACTTGTGTGTGTCAGCATTCATGTTTGAAGGCATGTATTTTATTAAAAGCTTCATTTTAAATTACAGTATATACAACATACACTTTAAACTTCTAACAAGCAGTAAGAAATAACCTTGTCTTGCTTCGCTGAATGATCATGCCTGCTGCCCTTTGGGCAGTTAAAAACAGTGACCATTAAATATTAAAATACAACAACATGCGTTGGGACAACATGGGAGACATTTTGAGAAATAAAAACACAAACAGAGCAACAGAGATTATACAGTGCAAAACACAATGGCCCTGTAGACTGATCTACAATCCACTAAGACATAAAATGTATATATTTTTTATTTATCTTTTATACAAAAAAGTGCTCGTCCCTTTATTATATATATCACTACTTGTCTGCTTTTAATATGCAAATATAACATCGTAGGTCACCTGGTGACCGTTGTCCCATGCGTACAGCTTTTTGTCCTTGGGGTTGTAGTCGATTTGCGTCATGTACGTGTAGTTGTTTGTGAACGGTATTCTGGGGATCATCTGGGTGTGTGTGTGCGTATCGAAGGCATAGGATATATTGGCGTGGGTGCGTTCGTAGTTGTCCACCGCATACAAGACGCCACAAATGACAAAGGAGTTTCCGTAGAAGTGTCTCCTCAGGCTCGTTCTGAACGTATTCTGGAGGCTGAGGTCGGTCGGGTTCACACGGCTTAGGATGATTACTTCATGATGGAAGCCCTCCTCATCCAGCGCAGGGTACACTAACCACAGGCCGCTCTCATCCACCGCAAAGTCGATGTCCGAGTGTCCACGCCACCTCCAGGAGGCGTCCTCCTCCTCTAACACGGCGTCGTGCAGCGTCGTCCAGGCCGCCACATAGAGCAGACGCAGGTCGAACTTGATGATGTCACGGGAGAAGGCGCGGTTGTAATAGAAAGCTCCGTTGTACACCACGTGGCCTGTGCCGATCCAGTTGTACGGTAGCTTGTAGGAGTTGGTGAAGTGTCCTGACAGGAAACATTCGACAAGCGAAATAAGAGAGTATTCAATACTGAGAAGCACACATTGCACAAATCAAATACCACCATTATATTAATCTATTGCCATGTCTGTCTTGTAATCTTGGCACCCAGAACCAAAGCAGTTACTTGGTTTTGAGACTATTCTATTGTGAAAATACCTTGTTTGAAGTTGTCCATGTCGTGGAATTCTAGTAGGTGGTTACCATAGTAGTAGTTGGTGACATAGATTACATTTCCGTTGCCCTTTGGGTCCTTCATCCAGGCCCCTTCCTTCCGGCCGTAGGTGTTATGGGTCACTGGGTCCGAGATGGTGGCCAGAGTGTCTTTGCACATGCCTGTAAGTAAACATACAGAGATAAAGACATTTACATTTACGTCATTTAGCAGACGCTCTTATCCAGAGCGACTTACAGTTAGTGCATACATTATTCTTTCTTTTATATATATTTTTATATATTTTCATACTGGCCCCCCGTGGGAATCGAACCCACAACCCTGGCGTTGCAAACGCCATGCTCTACCAACTGAGCTACCTCCCTGCCGGCCATTCCCTCCCCGCCGGCCATTCCCTCCCCTACCCTGGGCCAATTGTGCGCCGCCCCATTGGTCTCACGGTTGCGGCCAGCTACAGCAGAGCCTGGATTCGAACCAGGATCTCTAGTGGCACAGCTAGCACTGCGATGCAGTGCCTTAGGCCACTAGGGAGACATCATCTGTACTCCCCTCAAGTATTTAAAGATCGAACAAATAACACTCTTTCCCTCCCGAAAAGATCAATGTGGTGTATAATGCAAATCATGCCTTTTTCAGCATCAAATTCGAATTTCACTTTGGAAAATCAAACACCTGATCAGCCAAATATATTTTTTACCCGGGACTTTAGGGGTCGCCGAGGGGAACTCTGAGGGGCCCTCTGTCCAGCTGATGCGATGCTTGGGTTTGGGCGCAACCGTCACCTTGCTGGGTGGGGCTGTGATGCTGTTGACCTGTCGCACCGCAGTGGTTGGGGACGAGGTCAAAATAGACAAGGTTTCAGGTTTCCTAGTGGTCGCTGGTTGAGTGGTGCTTGTGGTTGTCGCAACCATTGTAGTAGTGGTGGTTGCTGTGGTCATAGTTGTGGTTGGAATGGGGGTGGTCGGGATGGACACAGTGGTTGATGGTGTCTCGGTAGCTCTAGGGGCAGATGTAGTGGGATTCCCTTGGGGACTAGAGGCTGTTTTGGGGGCACGAGTGGCCTGGTGGTCTGGGTTCCCCTTCCTGTCTTGGGATGCTGGTGTCGGGGGGCCTGCTACAGGTCTGGGCTGGGTGGGTCTCAGGAGCTGGTCATCGATGAGCAGGTCCATGGAACCATCACCGCTCAGGGCTTCGTCTGCTGCTGGTGGTGAATGAGCAGCACAAAGGGTTAAGCAGCATCTACAATTCACCAATTTACTCAAGAAGCCTCTCCAATATCATATTAAACCCCAGAACAAAACATGTCTATAAGCCCAGCACCAATATAGAGACCCCCAAAAATAAGCTGTCGACAACACAAAAATCCCTGGGAAGATGTGCTGTATGTTCTGAACTGGATGGACTACTGCTATGTTAGTTATTCTAGTATATGTCCAGTATTTTAATGGACTTACTGAGCTCCTCAGCGGCTCCATCGTTTACCGTGTTGGCCTTGTAGAAGGTCACTCCTCTGATGACCATGCCGTTGGTTCCCACCTTGCCTTTCAGGGGCCACTGGGGCTCCTCCCTCCTCTTCAGCATGGGCCTGGTGGCCCTCTGGCCCTTGGCCCCCACGTAGCGCTCCTCATACTTCTTCTATAGGAGGATCCAATCACAAAGGACCAAATGTTACCATTGTGTTATTGTAAAGCTTTTAGTGAGACAACTGTACTACATACTATACCTGTTGAATTGTAATTACAATAAGTTCTTAGTAACCATTTGTTGCATGGCAGTAAAGTTGTCCATTTTAAATTGTAATATTAGGCTAGAGAACCAAATGCTATGGTTTTGAGCATATTGGTTTTATGAAAATGTATGCAGTCGAGGTTCAAAGTAAGACAGTAATTTATTGTCATAAATTGTTTTCTGAGCTGTCTGGAAACTGTTGTAGTCTAGAAACCAGACCAGTTTTGATCCCGCCACGCTGTATTAAAGACGCTGCCAGGCTACTGGCTACCTTAATGTCTCGCCAATGTTTCCAAAGAGACTGACTGCCTTGGTTAGCATAGACTGTGTGTGTGTGTGTGTGTGTGTTTTACCTCTGTGTTAGCATAAGCTGCAGCTGTATCCTTCTGCAGGGACGGCTCCAGCTCAGTCAGACGTTTTCTCTTTTCCATCCTCTGGTGGGCTCTTCTCTCCTTCTCTCTCTCCTTCTCTCTCTCCTTTTCCTCACTAGAGGGGCTCCTCACACTCACTTTCTCCTTCTCTGTGTGGTCACAAGAAAAGGTCTGGACACCCACAGAGACAAAGCAAAATGGTGAGAAGCCAGTACCATATCCATAGACTCTAAGGCAGGGATCTTCAACTAGATTTAACCGCGGCTGATTTTTTTATTGAGCAGATGGTCAGGGGGCTGGAGCATAATTACAAATAATTTGTAGGATGCAAATTGACTACAAGGAGCCCAAACATATATCATATTTGACTAAAACATAATATGTTCAAACCTTGCTTACATTTGTATACGATCACATATATCTCGCTATTATACGTAGGAATACTTTGGAACAGATTTCCAAAATTAAAATCACTTGGAGCTGATTTGCTGGTGTTTTTACAGTCTTTTATGGCCAAATATAATTCCCCACAGGCCAAATTCGGTCCGCAGGCCGGCAGTTATGTAAGCTATGACTGCCCGTTGTGAAATGCCTACGAGTGTCAGTATACAAACCTTTTCTATATTGTCAACCCGGTTGAGGAGTTTGGTTGTAATTGAGTGCAACTTTAATAGATCCATCCCGTAAAACGCTCCCTCCAGTAACTCCATTACTGTTGAGAGCTGTAAGAGAAAGAGATCAGAATCATGGCAGTACATTTTAGATAACGTACACTGTACATGTTGTAGTCCTGTCTCATGCTGCATTCAATCACAGATGATCTGGACATTTCATTCAGATCAAATAAAGTTTGAGGAAATATTCCATTGGAAAGGGACCTGGGTAACTCTTTGTTTTACAAAGATGATGGGTTATTTTATGATGGACCAATGTAGTGTTTTTGCCCTTAGAGGTATGCGCTTGTGTTTTACCTTGATGTCATCTTTCCCGGCCTCCTGCAGCTTCTTGAATCTGTAATCTCCCTCACAGGGATTCAGAGCGGAGGGTGGGGCTATACACGCACACTTTTTACAATTGGGCCCTGATGTCACAGTCTCCACTGTGTAAAAGTCTTCAGCCTTGGCGGCACCCTCCTCTATCCGCCGGCAGGCACTTCTGCTCAGCGGTCTGACAACACATTTACAGCGACAGTCAGAGCCTTCCGACAGCGTTTTCACTTTGTCATAATCTCCCAGAAGCTACAATGGAGAAGAGATGGGTAGAGCATGGGTAGTCCACCAACGAGGAGCACAGCATTTCACAATTCACACAGACACAAAGCATTGACACACACATGCATTGGTGCAGTTCAGTGGAGGCTGGTGGAAGGAGATATAGGAGGACAGGCTCATTGTAATGGCTGGAATGGAATAAATGGAACGGAGTCAACTGTGGTTTCCATATGTTTGATGTGTTTGATACCGTTCTATTTGTTCCATTCCAGCCACTACAATGAGCCCATCCTCCTATAGTTCCTCCCACCAGCCTCCTCTGGTGCAGTTACTTATAGGATGGATCAACATAGCATATTAATGAGAATGCAAATATTTATCTCCACATTGGAAAAACTACCATCTCATCTCTACAATACCAAATACTCTATGCACATTGCACATTGAAAATGGTTTTATGACTAAGAATCGACTAATGTAGAACAAGTACTGGTTTTTAAAAACATTTTGGTCTTACAAACATATTTCACATTTAGGAGAAAATGTAAAAACTAAAGTAATTAAAACAACCACCTTCAACATATCGGTTTGCCCATGCTTTATGGTTCATAGCAAAACGCCAATACTGACTATAATGACAATGCTCGGTGTGCATGCGTAATTATGCATGACAAGTGCTCAACATAATAGGTAACCTTTTCCAAGGCCAGTATTCATAGACTATGAAGTATAAATTAGTAATATTCTAAACTAAACGGCATTATAATGCTTGGGGAAATTACATTATTCTTCCTCAGGTTCTTCTCATTAACTGTCGCACCTGGCTTTAGATAGCCTAATTTTACGCACATCCTATACCTATCTAATCAATCCTGTTACAAATCCCAAGCAAGGTCTTCAATACCTGAGTTAAAACGTTCTCCTGATTGTCCATCTCATCATCCAGAAGTGGTCCGTCGGTCTGTTCTAGTTCCTCTTTTATTCCATTCTCCATTACGTCGCTGAATGCGACTGGTGCCCAAGTGAGAGCGACCGCACACCACAACAAGAGCAATATCTGCAACCTAGATGTCATCTCCTAAATTACCAGGTGCACAATTGATAAATTGCTAATAAAAAAAATATGTATTTGAAACTCTGCAGCGAATGTAAAAAATAATAAAGTAGTTTGAAATATCCACAAAGTTATAATAAGAAGATGTCCATGATCAAAACAATCTGTGATCTCGCAGTGGAAATTAATCCGGAATGTATTTAGAGTCCTCTCAGGTGAAGATTATTGTGTTGCCCTCGCTGTAAGTGATAGGTATGATGCCTATTGATGGTTGGAGGTGAATGAACAGGCAAGTGAACGTTCTAATGGTTGGTTATGGATAGGTGGGACGGACTTTACCATATTGGATACAGGGTGCAGTCTGTCTCACAGATTGGTGTGAAACAATAATGTTGCAAGAGATGAAACAATACATTTTCGTAACTAATATTTGGTCATTCATGTTCTTTCTTCTTAACTGTATAGTTTTATAAATGCATCTTCTGACCCTTGGGAAATGTTTGCTATAGAATTCCTATTTTTGGACTTCAGAATGAAGACAAATCATAAAAGCTCATAAATCGGGACACTTTGAGAATAGACTATTTGTGGTTGAAATGAAGAGAAAATGTGAGACCAAACCTTACCCGATAGCGCCATCTAGGGGGTATTTCTGTCATCATCTGTAATGTGATGGACATTATTCTCCCACCATTCCAGCAATGTGGGAATTAAGATAAATGAGTATTATCCTTTATATATTCTTTAGAGTGACCGGCCATAATACAGAGTGTATTTCATAATAATGTTCATTTCCCTCACAAAGTGGATACTGTCATAATTGTTCAGCAGTTATTTACTGGTCTTGATACCCAGGCCACAGGTCTTGCAATTGTTCCTTAGACCAGTAGGTTGCCTGTAAGCAAACTTTTCTCATGCACAATATTGTACTCTAATGCCTAAAGTATGGACACAAATGCCAATATTGTATGTTTTACTTGCAACATACTTTTGATTATCTTGTCCACCATTGTTCCTGTACCCAAGAAAGCAAAGGTAACTGAACTAAATGACTATCGCCCCGTGGCACTCACTTCGGTCATCATGAAGTGCTTTGAGAGACTAGTTAAGGATCATATCACCTCCACCTTACCTGACACCCTAGACCCACTTCAATTTGCTTACCACCCCAATAGATCCACAGACGATAAAAACGCCATCACACTGCACACTGCCCTATCCCATCTGGACAAGAGGAATACCTACGTCAGAATGCTGTCCATTGACTAAAGCTCAGCCTTCAACACCATAGTACCTTCCAAGCTCATCATTAAGCTCCGGACCCTGGTTCTGAACCCCGCCTTGTGCAACTGGGTCCTGGACTTCCTGACGGGCCGCCCCCAGGTGGTGAAGGTAGGAAACAACACTTCCACTTCGCTGATCCTCAACACAGGGGCCTCACAAGGGTGCGTGCTCAGCCCCCTCCTGCACTCCCTGTTCACCCATGACTGCGTGGCCACGTACGCCTCCAACTCAATCATCAAGTTTGCAGACGACACAACAGTAGTAGGCCTGATTACCAACAATGACGAGACAGCCTACAGGGAGGTGAGGGCCCTGGCAGAGTGGTGCTAGGAAAATAACCTCTCCCTCAATGTTAACAAAACGAAGGAGCTGATCGTGGACTTCAGGAAACAGCAGAGGGAGCACGCCCCTATCCACATCGACGGGACCGTAGTAGAGAAGGTGGAAAGCTTCAAGTTCCTCGGCGTACACGTCACTGACGATCTGAAATGGTCCACCCACACAGACAGTGTGGTGAAGAAGGCACAACAGCGCCTCTTCAACCTCAGGAGGCTGAAGAAATTAGGCTCAGAATCTTTTACAGATGCACAATTGAGAGCATCCTGTCGGGCTGTATCACCGCCTGGTACGGCAACTGCACCGCACGCAACCGCAGGGCTCTCCAGAGGGTGGTGCGATCTGCCCAACGCATCACTGGGGGCACACTGCCTGCCCTCCAGGACACCTACAGCACCCAATGTCATAGGAAGGCCAAAAATATCATCAAGGACATCAACCACCTGAGCCACGGCCTGTTCACCCCACTATCATCCAGAAGGTGAGGTCAGTACAGGTGCATCAAAGCTGGGACCAAGAGACTGAAAAACAGCTTCTATCTCAAGGCCATCAGACTGTTAAATAGCCATCACTAGCTGTCTACCACCCGGCTACTCAACCCTGCACATTAGAGGATGCTGCCCTATATACAGTGGGGGAAAAAAGTATTTAGTCAGCCACCAATTGTGCAAGTTCTCCCACTTAAAAAGATGAGAGAGGCCTGTCATTTTCATCATAGGTACACGTCAACTATGACAGACAAAATGAGATTTTTTTTCTCCAGTAAATCACATTGTAGGATTTTTTATGAATTTATTTGAAAATTATGGTGGAAAATAAGTATTTGGTCAATAACAAAAGTTTCTCAATACTTTGTTGGCAATGACACAGGTCAAACGTTTTCTGTAAGTCTTCACAAGGTTTTCACACACTGTTGCTGGTATTTTGGCCTATTCCTCCATGCAGATCTCTTCTAGAGCAGTGATGTTTTGGGGCTGTCGCTGGGCAACACGGACTTTCAACTCCCTCCAAAGATTTTCTATGGGGTTGAGATCTGGAGACTGGCTAGGCCACTCCAGGACCTTGAAATGCTTCTTACGAAGCCACTCCTTCGTTGCCCGGGCGGTGTGTTTGGGATCATTGTCATGCTGAAAGACCCAGCCACGTTTCATCTTCAATGCCCTTGCTGATGGAAGGAGGTTTTCACTCAAAATCTCACAATACATGGCCCCATTCATTCTTTCCTTTACACGGATCAGTCGTCCTGGTCCCTTTGCAGAAAAACAGCCCCAAAGCATGATGTTTCCACCCCCATGCTTCACAGTAGGTATGGTTTTCTTTGGATGCAACTCAGCATTCTTTGTCCTCCAAACACGACGAGTTGAGTTTTTACCAAAAAGTTATATTTTGGTTTCATCTGACCATATGACATTCTCCCAATCCTCTTCTGGATCATCCAAATGCACTCTAGCAAACTTCAGACGGGCCTGGACATGTACTGGCTTAAGCAGGGGGATACGTCTCGCACTGCAGGATTTGAGTCCCTGGCGGCGTAGTGTGTTACTGATGGTAGGCTTTGTTACTTTGGTCCCAGCTCTCTGCAGGTCATTCACCAGGTCCCCCCGTGTGGTTCTGGGATTTTTGCTCACCGTTCTTGTGATCATTTTGACCCCACGGGGTGAGATCTTGCGTGGAGCCCCAGATCGAGGGAGATTATCAGTGGTCTTGTATGTCTTCCATTTCCTAATAATTGCTCCCACAGTTGATTTCTTCAAACCAAGCTGCTTACCTATTGCAGATTCAGTCTTCCCAGCCTGGTGCAGGTCTACAATTTTGTTTCTGGTGTCCTTTGACAGCTCTTTGGTCTTGGCCATAGTGGAGTTTGGAGTGTGACTGTTTGAGGTTGTGGACAGGTGTCTTTTATACTGATAACAAGTTCAAACAGGTGCCATTAATACAGGTAACGAGTGAAGGACAGAGGAGCCTCTTAAAGAAGAAGTTACAGGTCTGTGAGAGCCAGAAATCTTGCTTGTTTGTAGGTGACCAAATACTTATTTTCCACCATAATTTGCAAATAAATTCATTAAAAATCCTACAATGTGATTTTCTGGATTTTTTTCCCTCAATTTGTCTGTCATAGTTGACGTGTACCTATGATGAAAATGACAGGCCTCTCTCATCTTTTTAAGTGGGAGAACTTGCACAATTGGTGGCTGACTAAATACTTTTTTTCCCCACTGTACATAGACATGGAATCACTGGCCACTTTAATAATGAAACACTAGTCACTTTAATAATGTTTACATACTGTTTTACTCATCTCATATGTATATACTGTATTCTATTCTACTGTATTTTAGTCAATGCCACTCCGACATACAGTGAGGGAAAAAAGTATTTGATCCCCTGCTGATTTTGTACGTTTGCCCACTGACAAAGAAACGATCAGTCTATCATTTTAATGGTAGGTTTATTTGAACAGTGAGAGACAGAATAACAAGAAAAAAATCCAGAAAAACGCATGTCAAAAATGTTATAAATTGATTTGCATTTTAATTAGGGAAATAAGTATTTGACCCCCTCTCAATCAGAAAGATTTCTGGCTCCCAGGTGTCTTTTATACAGGTAACGAGCTGAGATTAGGAGCACACTCTTAAAGGGAGTGCTCCTAATCTCAGCTTGTTACCTGTATAAAAGACACCTGTCCACAGAAGCAATCAATCAATCAGATTCCAAACTCTCCACCATGGCCAAGACCAAAGAGCTCTCCAAGGATGTCAGGGACAAGATTGTAGACCTACACAAGGCTGGAATGGGCTACAAGACCATCGCCAAGCAGCTTGGTGAGAAGGTGACAACAGTTGGTGCGATTATTCGCAAATGGAAGAAACACAAAAGAACTGTCAATCTCCCTCGGCCTGGGGCTCCATGCAAGATCTCACCTCGTGGAGTTGCAATGATCATGAGAACGGTGAGGAATCAGCCCAGAACTACACGGGAGGATCTTGTCAATGATCTCAAGGCAGCTGGGACCATAGTCCCCAGGAAAACAATTGGTAACACAATACGCCGTGAAGGACTGAAATCCTGCAGCGCCCGCAAGGTCCCCCTGCTCAAGAAAGCACATATACAGACCCGTCTGAAGTTTGCCAATGAACATCTGAATGATTCAGAGGAGAACTGGGTGAAAGTGTTGTGGTCAAATGAGACCAAAATCGAGCTCTTTGGCATCAACTCAACTCGCCGTGTTTGGAGGAGGAGGAATGCTGCCTATGACCCCAAGAACACCATCCCCACCGTCAAACATGGAGGTGGAAACATTATGCTTTGGGGGTGTTTTTCTGCTAAGGGGACAGGACAACTTCACCGCATCAAAGGGATGATGGACGGGGCTATGTACCGTCAAATCTTGGGTGAGAACCTCCTTCCCTCAGCCAGGGCATTGAAAATGGGTCGTGGATGGGTATTCCAGCATGACAATGACCCAAAACACACGGCCAAGGCAACAAAGGAGTGGCTCAAGAAGAAGCACATTAAGGTCCTGGAGTGGCCTAGCCAGTCTCCAGACCTTAATCCCATATAAAATCTGTGGAAGGAGCTGAAGGTTCGAGTTGCCAAACGTCAGCCTCGAAACCTTAATGGTTTGGAGAAGATCTGCAAAGAGGAGTTGG